TGTGTGTGTGTATATGTCATTCAAGGAGCAGGAAGGTGGATGAATAAAAGCAGAGGACTAAACACAAAGTGTTCCTCTGAGAGTCAACAGTTTGGTGAAAGCAGAGGGCCCCTGAGGGTTAAGCCACTGCCTGCGGCGCTGGCAATCCAAATGGGCGCCAGTTTCAATCCAGCTCCCTGCTAATGAGCCTGGGAAAGCAGCAGAGGAGGTCTAAATCCTTGGGCCCCTGTACTCACATGGGAGACCTGAAAGAAGCGCCCAGCTCCTGGCTTTGATCTGGTATAACTCCGGCCATTATGGCCATTTGGGGAGTGAATCAGCAGATGGAAGATGTCTATCTTTCCCTGCCTCTCTGTAACTCTGCCTTTTAAATAAAATAAATAAACCTTTAAAAGAAAGAAGGAAGGAAGGGAATAAGAAAGGAAGGAAGGAAATAAATAAATTAAATAGATAAATCTCCCAAAGAGGAAAATAATCCTGAATTTAAGCAAGAACTAATAGAAGTAACAAAGGCAAGACTAGCATTCAGAAACATATTCCATTCAACCTCACAATGATGCTATACAGTAGGTATTACTGCACCAATGACTCAAAAGATTATGATGCAAGCAGATAACACTGTAGTTTGTCAATTCTTAATTGCCAGAGCCGAGCATGTTTTGGCTTCCACATTCCAAAATACTTAACAAGCCAAAAAGTAGCTCCTTATCTCTGATGAGTGATTATAACTCAGGAGTTGGCCTAAAATACACAGGGCTGGACAGCAAAAGAAAGACCACTTGGGTGATTTAAAAAAGATGAATATAGGGATAGGCAATGTAGCACAGCAGGTTAAGCCTCCTCCTGCGACACTGGTATCCCTTATGGGTGCAGGTTCCAGTCCCAGCTACTCTACTTTTGATACAGTTCTCTGCTAATGTACCTGGGAAAGTAGTGGAAGATGACCCAAGTGCTTGAGCCACTGCATCCATGTGGGAGAAATGGAAGAAGCTCCAGGCTCTTGGCTTCAGCCTGGCCCAGCCACAGCCAGTGCAGCCACTTGGGGAGTGAACCAGTGGATGAAAGATTCTGTCTCTCCTCCTCTCTCTGTAATTCTGCCTTTCAAATAAATTAAAAATGCATTTTTAAAAAGAAGGAAAGAAAGGCAGATGGATGGACGGACTGAGAGATGGATGCAGAAAGATGCAGGGGACTTTGGACGGAATGAAGCAAGAAACAGAATGAGCAGAGTGGAGATCAGCACCAGGATTCCAACACGAGACCAGCAGGGCCTCCAACTGGAAACTGATGATGGTGCAGCAGGCAGGGACAGAAGCCAAGGGAAGGTATTCTAACAGAGAAACAGGAAGCCTGGGAGAAAAAGAAGTGGGCGACCAGATGAGGAACAAGGGAGGCTTACCAGGTACACCAATGAGGTTTCAACTCTGTTCAAACAATTCTTCACGAATACAGAAAAAGATGGAAATGGTTTATTCTGAAAACAGCAACAACACTTAATATTTAGATATGTTAAGTTTGAGAACACAGTTAAATGTAATCAGGCATTGGCATTTGGGGAGAGGAAGAGAGGAACTGTGGAGCCACCGCACGGAGCTGACAGCAGAGCTGTGGAGGAGACAAGAATCCTGCTGGAGAAAAGAGACGGGCAGTGATCTAAATGTGGGGGAGGACTTCACTCAGCACAAACAGAAAAGGAGAAGGGGAAAAAGGAAACTCTCAAACCAGAGATAAAACCCTCAGAGGAGAATAAAGCATATTTCCCAAGCATGGATAACATTTAGTCCCAGAAAATCTAAATATCAAGGCCTGAATTAATGAAAATCTCAACTCTTTTAGGTAATTTGAACAAGAATTATTAAGAATATGGGTACATGGGCACCCTCATAATGCAAAAATTACCAGTTACGTCTAGTGTCTCTGAATTGTGGACTCAATTTCTAAAGAAGGGACACACAGCTGACAAAGCAGTGCCACCCCACTGCAGCACTACCATCTGAAACAACAGGCAGGGAGCATGCTTTTTAGGTACTTTTTTCTTGGTCTCAAAAACTCAACTGTTATTGCACAGTGAGATGCTAGCCTGTTTTTATGCCTTTCCAGTTCACTTTTTCTACTTTGAGGTATAACAGACATGCCACAATTTTATTCATTTTCAGTGTACAATTCAGTGATGTTCAGTCATTTTAGAAATTATGCAGCCATGGCTGTAATCTCATTTTCATCACCCCAGGAGATCCCCCAGGTCCTCATAGGTAACTCAACCCCGTCTCCATCCCCAGATAACAATAATCCACTTGCTGGCTCAGCTACAGATCTGCCTTTTCTGTGCATTTCATCCAAGTGACCCTGCGGCCTTCTCTGTCCCGCCATTGTCTTTGTAAAAGGTTTTGAGGTTCATCCACATGATAGCTTTATTTCATTTTTTTTTTCATTCTGAGTAGTATTCCACTGTATGATGACACCACATTTCATTTATCCACTCAGCAGCTGGCTCTCGGGTCATTCTGCTTCTACGTCTCATGAACAAAGCTACTATAAATATTTGCACCCTCGTCTTTGCAGGGGCATGTGCTATGGTTTCTCTTCAGTAGAAACCTAGACCGGGAATTACGGGGCTGAATGAGAAGCTCAGTGTTAACTCTCGATGGTACTGCCAATGTGTCCCCAGAGCAGCCGTACCATCTTCCGTTCTCACTGGCAACGTATGGGGATCTTTCCAGCTCCTTACCCTCAGCAGTACTTGTTTTGTCTGCCTGCCGTTGTTGTTGTTGATAGCCATTCCAGGAGATGTAAAATGCTATCACACTGTGGTGTGAATTTCCCTACTGAGGTTAGCATCTTTTCAAGTGCTCTTGGTGAAATGCCTAGACAAATCTTTTCACCATCTTTTAATGGGTTTTCTTGTTAACAGGAAGTATAAATGTTCTTTGTCTACTCTGAATGTGAATCCTTTATTAGAAATACACTGTACAAATACTCTCTCCCAGTCTTTTCTGGATTCCCCTTCATGACTGAGACTGCTCTTTCTCTCACTGCTGCTATCACTGAGCAAGGAATAAGGAAAGCCAGGAGGGGGGAAACCACATGACAAGGGTGGGAAATAAAACTAAAGATGTGTTTGTCAGGTAGCATCCTTAAACAGTTTCCATAAGAGGTTGGAGTCAGGTTCTTATGCTTGCTGAAATTCAAAGATCATTATCATCAATATTACTTAATATCATTAATATTAATTACTTAATATTTTATTATCATTAATTATCAATTACTTATTGATAATTATTAATTACTTAATAATATTTATATTGCTTGCCTCAATCATTCTCCCAGCAAAGGCTTTTGCTTCACTGCCTTACATTAAAAATAACACACCACTGGCACTCACAAAGCAGGGACTCTGAGAACACTAATCATCGCCTATGCCCCGTTAGCCAAAACACAGCTTTCTGAATTGTTGTTACAGATCACATACTACAGCATTCAAAGGTGAGGCCTGGAGAAAGTTGCTAAACTCCCCCAGAAAACTGATTTGGGGTGAGTAGGAAAGGATCGTTGATATTTGAAGCCCATTTATTTTAATCTGTCACCAAATCCAGTACTTCAACTGCACGTCATATCAATGAACAGAAAAACAAATGCTAAGTGCCTCTCCACTCGCTGCAAAACTCTCAAATACACTTTGGCATCCAACGCGTGCTTTCCCAGCTGACTCAGCAAATATGTGGAGACAAAAGGAAGCACTTACACCAGCTAGGAAGCTGCTCTTTACTTGGAGAGGACGAGGTTACTTGGGGTTCTTTGGCAGCTGTGTGGGACAGGAGCGACTATTAGTGAAGGGGATAAGTCCCACATGGTTTCATTTCATGAGAAACAGCATGACTTCCCTTCAACTGTTCCATGAGCACATTTTACTTTCACTGAACTCTTGCCATAGTGATTCCCAGGATTTCTTCTCTCCTTGGTCAACACCTGAGAGAAGTCAAGAAACAGATAACAGATCTGGCTGTGGAAGAAGGGACAGGGGGTGGGGTGGGGAATAATGTTTTACAACATCCAACATAGCACACATAGGTGCTCTCTCCTAATCTTTATCACGTGTTGCCCAGAATCTCAACCTCAGAAAACCCAGGCCATTTACAAAATCAGCCGTCAGACAAAGTCAGGTTAATTATTCTTTCCAGTTAAATTTTCAGACTGGAATGGAATATGGCTGTCACAAAGAAATACAAGGACTCTTATGACAAATGCTTAAATGCTATTAAATTCTCAGTGGGAATCTATGATTGAGAAGATACTCAAATACAAGCTCATGGAAATCTGAGTCCTGGTAGGAACATTATAGAGGCTTCAGTCCAGGTCCAGAGAGGTCACGTGACTTGACTTGATGGAGGCCACAGAGCTGGTTAATGTATAGCCATGACTACAATCCCTGAGACTGTAAGACCAGGATGCTGGACCCATGTGAGTTTGTGAAACACTTGCATGTGCCAGTGGTACATGTTAACCATCCCCAATTGTCTGTAAGTCCCATTATATATGAATTGTTTTATAGGCACTCGGGTCAAAAACATGAAAGGATGAGTAGACACAGGGATAGCATGTCAGATGAGTTAACATTCCTGAGCACAAACTTGCAGTCAGGTTCCACGGAGCTCCTTATGGATTATCACACATAAACCTTATGACACCCTGAGGTGTTACTATCATCACTCCCATTTCAGGGATGAACACACCAAGTTAGAGATGTTCAGTAACTTTCCCAAGGTCACACCACAGCATCCAGATATGAACCATACACAGACCTGGTCCATGCATCGTGGCAGGCTGCAGCAGGGACAAAAAGTACACAGTTCTCTCTCGAGTGGCATTGCTGTTCACGGCCACAGAGAGTGTGTTTTCTGAATCATGGAGGCAAATACTGTTTTTAATGAAAATATCAAAATATGGTACACTCAAATTCCTCCCAACTGTTTTTCATTTCCCACTCTTCATTTTCTCCCCAGAAATTAAACCAGGAATACCCTACGCTGAGCCCATGCCTCCATCGTCCCCGAGTGTTTCCTGACACACAGTTTCGCTTAACAGCACAAAACAACTGAAGAATGGGGTTCAACTTGACACTTGCAAAATTACCAGGTAAGCCATAGGCAAAGATGCCAAGAAAATCTCTCACTTGATCAATGACTTATTTATGCTGTGTGACAATTAGGGAGTTTGATTGGTCACAGAATCAACACAGCATTTAGCATTGCCTTTCGTAAGATGTATAAACCAGCAAACATGCAAGACAGTATCACTGAGATAAACCCGAGTTGTTATCATTTGGTTTTACGCTTTGCTTCATCTAGAAATCATCTCTAAACTGATGGACAGGATTAAAGTTAATAACATTAGAAAAAGACTTTTAAACCCAAACTCAACTAAATCCTACTTCCCCGACTGAGCCTAAACCAAGGGACACTGATGTTCCCAAGGAAGCCAAAGACAGCATCTACTAGCAACCCTACTGGGTAACTATTCAGAAAATGATCACACAAGGGCAACTGTGCCACACTAGTGACAACCTATAATTTGTGTGGCTTCATTATTTCATCCCCACCTGGCAGGTAGAGCAGTGGCTTATGTTGACACCTTCACATGTTGTGCCAAAGCGTGACACACCCCAGTGAGCAATCATGTAGCTTCACCAAAGGCAGAAGTGCCCAAGGTTCTCACTGCTCTATCATTCGCAGTGCAACTCTGCTAGTGAGAAACAGTGGTCAGCACCTTATGTTACAGAAAGAACACCTACTAAGTATTAGACCCCAGGTTCAAAATAATGCTGGGGAAGCACTTACCTTTCAGAAAACACAGCAAAGGGGTTATTCTTTTTTTTAAATCCATTTTACAAAGTCATGAGGTGATGAAACCAGCACTGTCATACAGAACTCTGTTCATGGATGAAAATGTTCTGTATCTGCACTGGCCAATATGAAAAAAACTTCAAAGTGGCTACTGCTAATGAGGAGTTGAGTTTTTAGTTGTGCTTTGTTGTTACCTACATTAAAAGTGCCACTTTCAGTTGGTGCTCTATCCCGCCACACACTCATGCACTGCCCCAACACACACACCCAGTTGCAAGCACACACTCGCTCCTTCTACACACACTGCGACAGCACCCCTCCCCCCACACCCATGCACACAACACCACCCTCATACTCAGCCCAAAGCAATTTTCTTGCAGAACCTGAGTTCATATGTTCTGTGTTAGGTTATGTCACCGTGCTTGTTATCTTAAAAGGAGCTGTGGGACAGGAAGTGGAGCAGAGAGTAACAAAGGAGTTTTTTCTCTGAATTATTATTCCATTTCAAACCCTGTGCCAAACAACACACAGAATGCCACCCTGGGAAGCAAGAAGACTGTGAGAAAATCGTTCTGCATTGTAAAAACCACTTTTAGTTTTTCCTAATTGAATCACCAAGCTACTGTTATTCAAAATGTTCACTAAGTTTGCTGCTGGCAGGGAAGAATATGATAGAATGGCCTGGGTGAAGAAAGTCATTCACTATTAATGTTTAATGTTCCTGTGTAGAAACATCGTATAGAAAATGTCTCTGAGGACACCCACCTGTTCTGGAAAATTTGGGGGAAAAGAAGAAGGGAGCAAATGATGGAGGCAGTTGGCAGAAAAGACTATGACCTAGAAATAATACTAAAATGTTAGAGTCTTAAAAAGGACACAGACGATACATATTACCAAAAAGATTATTTGGATTTAAAATGGTTTGCACTAAAACCTACCTTTCAATTGCATTTTCCATGACTTTTTTGAACTTCCCTGAGACAAGTCCATCATATAAAACTCTCAATGTCAACTGTTGAGCCTTCCAGAGCAGCACACAGCTGGCTCATCCTGCTTCTAAGGAACCATTTTTTCTTTCTCTACTACCATGTTATTTCATAAAATAACCCCTAACGGATTTTAACCACTAATTTGTTTAAGCTGCACTGTAAATGTGCAATTTGTGAATGAAGTAATAACCAGGTCCAGGCCTATCCTACTGAAATAAAAAGCACTCTATTCCACAGTGTTAACCCTGTATGTCAACCAAGGAAGCAAATACTGCGAAGTGACACAATCAACAAGTTGAAACCAGACTGCCTCAAAACCACACAGAGCAGTTCAATAATCACTGTGGAATAGGGACACACGTGCTTCATTTTTTTTATTTATGAGACACAGTGTATATATACATGGATATTATACACACACACACACACACACACAGTGTTAGAGACATTTTCGACATTCCGACAAGACTCTACCTTTAATAATAACCATAATTGCTAGGTAAATCATTTAGTAAGAGTGCTTATTCACATAATTAAGCTTTGGGATATTATAATGATAGAACAGCCAAACAGACGTGCCATCCTTACACGTTAGGAAGTATGGGTTCTCTCACTCCACAATGGATAAACACAGCAGACTCAGGCCAAGGCTAACAGGACAAACACCCCTGGATTACCCAACACCCTATTAGGCTATGGCTAATGAACTGTTTGCACTTGGGGTAGCTATGGAAAGGAACTGGTAGGGAGCGCAGCCATCATTTCAGGAGATGACAAGGCTGTGCCTAGTCAGTCAGCCGGGTTCCCTGGGCCAGGCCTTTCTCATTCTTATTCAAACTTACTTGTCCTTTCTTTACTTCCCTAAAGTAAACTTACTACCCTGCATAAGATCAAAGTGACAGTTAATTTTTTTAATAGTCTGAAATAATTCAAGTAAGTATCTCAACTCAGTTAAAACAGAACATCTTTAAAAAGCATCAAATGGCATTGATACTAATTTGGATCTCCGGGTGCAGAGATAGCTAAAACTGCAATCCTCCTTTAAATCAAAACGGGCAAGAATGATGCTGTTCAAGAAAATATCTGAAACTGGAAGCAGTGACACAGACGGCAGCTGAACCAGGTATTTTTAAACTTATAAAGATTAATAACACCGTGGGCCTCAGAACAGGCTAGTCCAGGTATAAATTACTAGCCTGCATAAGACACAGTTAGGCCAGGAAAACCAGTTTTTTAAAAACACATAGACCCAGGAATAAAAGGGAAAGAGTTAGAAGAAATGGTTACACAGGAAGAGCCTGCACTTAAATTCGGGGCAGCAATTAAAGAACCTGCTTTCGGATTACAATCCTCAAAAGTGTCTTTTCTGTTTGATTTCTTCAAACAAGGGAAGCAAAATATATACTCTACTGCCTGCCACGGAGGGAAGTGAGGGGTAAATTCACAGTTACCTGTGATCCCAAATCATTCCAAAACAAAACAGTCAATGCTCCTGTGTCAGCAGGAGGGAAAGATCCAGACATGATCTTCCCTCTCGATCTTACGTCCAAAATGTGGATTTGTAAATTGTGTGAGTTCAGGTGTTCCAACCCCGGATGGCCATGAGATGTACTGGGGCCAATGGTTTCATGGGAGCATGGAGAGACTTGGGGGGGGGGGGGGGGGGGCGGGGAGAAGGCTGAGGGATGAGGGAGGACGAGTCAGACTCCAGGGCAGCCTGAAGAGGGTTGACCTAGACTGAGAAGTAGTCCACCTTTGCCAGCAGCAGCCCTGTCTTGGGATCCCTGCCAGGCTCGTGTATGGGCTGGGAGCAGGGCACACGAGTGTGGTTTCACCAAAAAGTGGTATGGATCCAGAGCACAGAGCTGGGCATCTGGACCTCACGGTCCACACAGGAGACCCGACGGTCCATTCATGTGTAACAGGTGCTCATCAATCATGGGATAGGTCTTTAATAAGATGAACTAAAAAACCCCAAGAAAGCAAAAGGCTTAAAAAAGATTCACATAACAAACACAGTTAAGTATAATCTAGCCTTGTAAATAAGAAAAGCATCGCAGCCTGCAATTATTTTTGAACAGGTTGTGCTCCTTGGTGACAGACTTAAATACTAAGAATCAGAAAACAATCAGCATTTTTTTTCTCACTGAACTATAGAGAAACACATATTCGTGGTTATTCTTTACAAACATATTTTAATGAAAAATACACAAGATGCTGTATAAATACTCATGGTCATCATTCATCATTCACACCTACCTACAACTACAATTTACTAAGGTGAAAAATGAAAAGAAAATCAGCAATCTAGATGCCCTCCTCCCCAAGACCTTTTTTTTTTTTTCCTATACTTTGGAAAGCACATCTTCTATTTCTTTAAAAGAAAACTGCCAAGATATTTTATTTCTAGTACCAATGGATCTTAAGTACCATAAGAAAATAATAGGCAAAAAATTCACAATGTCCCACTAGAGGTACTCCTTTCTCACTATTGATGATTAAAAAGCTTAAAACTGACAGAGGAAAAGAAGATATATTCAAAGAATATGAAAAAAAAACCTACACTGAAATAATCATTATGTTCTATTTTCACTGAAGGAAATTTCAATTTGCTGTTATTGATTGTGTCAATTCCATTTGTAGTGACATCAAACAGCAAATTAAGACCCAGGATGATTAACACTGGTCTATTTAATTCCCAAAGGTTGGTACAGGGAATCAGAGAGATGACTTGTTACACAAGGGATCTCAGCCTGGGGCCGTGGGCCATGGGGAGTGGAGGTACCAACTTCTCAGCCACTAGGAACACTGGCAGTGTCCTAAAATGATTCTTTTTCTTGCTTCTACATCTTGAAACTCACCCAAAATAACAAGCATCCTACCAGCCAGTTGGGGAGCCTGGTGGCTCATGGAGCACGCATAACGTCTCCCCTCTTCTCCAACAGATACTGAGCTGCACAGCCAAGGGAGCCCCACCCCAAGTAACGTGAGTGGAGAGCCGGGAGAGAACAGCACCGTTCACAATGAGTTCAACACCATCGTCTTGCCGGTGCTTTACCTCGTTATATTTGTGGCAAGCATCTTGCTGAATGGTCTAGCAGTGTGGATCTTCTTCCACATTAGGAATAAAACCAGCTTCATATTTTATCTGAAAAACATAGTGGTTGCTGACCTCATCATGACACTGACATTTCCATTTCGAATAGTCCATGACGCAGGATTTGGACCTTGGTACTTCAAGTCTGTCCTCTGCAGATACACTTCCGTTTTGTTTTACGCAAACATGTACACATCCATTGTGTTTCTTGGGCTGATAAGCATCGACCGCTACCTGAAGGTGGTGAAACCATTTGGGGACTCTCGCATGTACAGCATAACCTTTACGAAGGTTTTATCTGTTTGTGTTTGGGTGATCATGGCTGTTCTGTCCTTACCAAACATCATACTAACAAACGGACAACCAACTAAGGAAAACATTCACGACTGCATGAAACTTAAAAGTTCCTTAGGAGTCAAGTGGCATAAGGCAGTGGTCTACGTCAACAGCTGCTTGTTTGTGGCCGTCCTTGTGATCCTGATCGGATGCTACATTGCCATATCCAGGTACATCCACAAATCCAGCAGGCAATTCATCAGTCAGTCAAGCCGAAAGCGAAAACACAACCAGAGCATCAGGGTGGTTGTGGCCGTGTTTTTTACCTGCTTTCTACCATATCACTTGTGCAGGATTCCTTTCACTTTCAGCCACTTGGACAGACTTTTAGACGAATCTGCACACAAAATCCTGTATTACTGCAAAGAAATGACACTTTTCTTATCTGCATGCAATGTGTGCCTGGATCCAATAATTTACTTTTTCATGTGTAGGTCATTTTCAAGAAGGTTATTTAAGAAATCGAATATCAGAACCAGAAGCGAAAGCATCAGATCACTGCAAAGTGTCAGAAGATCGGAAGTCCGTATATATTACGATTATACTGACGTATAAGGATAAGCAGCCAACAGGCCTCCTCTTGTTTGTCAGGATCAATGTGTTCAAAGTGTAAATAAAATATTTCTTTTCATTACCCTTGCTTGAACTCCTCAAAATATGAATTTATAAAGGCATTAAAGGACAGGTGCTTGGTATGACAATTAAGTTGCCACTTGGGACACCCACCCCCTATAAAAGAGTTTGTGGTTCAAGTCCCGGCTATTCCACTTCCAATCCAGCTTCCTGCCAAAGTGCATCTGAGAAACAGCTGGTGATGGTTCAAGTACTTGGGGGCCTGCCACCCAGCTGGGAAACCCAGAATGCATTCTGGGCTGCTGACTTCATAGCTCAGTAATAGCTGTTGTGGGCATTTGGGGAATGAACCAGTGAATGAAAGAGATATGGGGGGGGGGGTATGTGTGTGCCTTTGAAATCAACTAATTTAAAAAAAAAGAAGTTAGAGACATGAAAACAGGTGTTTATTAGAAAAAGAAATTAAAATGGTATGTTACTTGGGCATAATTTAGAACTAAGAAAAACACTAAGGCATAGCAAAAAGTGACACAAACAAGAGGTAGCACACATGGCTGCGTGGCAGGGTTCAGGGATGAAAGTTGAAGGAACAGAGTGAAGGGGCAGGAAGAGCCACAGAAATATTAGTGTCCTGCAGATGTCCTCCAGGACACCTGCCGCTCTGAAGCCTCCTGTGCAGAGGGTATTAACACAGAGTACGAAGCCTTGAGGTTCAAGATTTGGAAAAGAAAATGTCATTTTCAACATAATTCATGTGCCGTGAATATAAATGAGTACACACTGATTACTAGGTCTTCTGGTATCTCATCTAAAACCATCTAAAATCTTTGGCCATTGAGCACCTGATGTATTTATCAAGATCTTCACACATAAGAAAAGTTTGAGTGGCAGGCAGTGGTTGGAGAAAAGGAGGCTCAGCAAGGTTTGGTGTTTTTTTGTTTTTTTGGTTTTTTTTTTTTTTTTTGGACAGGCAGAGTGGACAGTGAGAGAGAGAAACAGAGAGAAAGGTCTTCCTTTTTGCCGTTGGTTCACCCTCCAATGGCCGCCACGGCTGGTGCGCTGTGGCCTGCACACCACGCTGATCTGAAGGCAGGAGCCAGGTGCCTCTCCTGGTCTCCCATGGGGTGCAGGGCCCAAACCCTTGGGCCATCCTCCACTGCCTTCCCGGGCCACAGCAGAGAGCTGGCCTGGAAGAGGGGCAACCGGGACAGAATCCGGTGCCCCGACCGGGATTAGAACCTGGTGTGCTTGGCGCCGCTAGGTGGAGGATTAGCCTAGTGAGCCGCGGCGCCGGCCTCAGCTACGTTTTTAAGCAATGCATTGGAAATGTTGAACGCAGCTAACTTCAAGCAAGTAATTTCAGAAAAAAAAATGTGTGATTAACAAGAGAAGTAGATTTTGGACACAGTACTCTGAAGTTACATTTGTTATTGTTGTACCCTTACAATGCATTAAACTTACATGCTAAGGGTGCAGAAGAAAAAAACAGAAGCTTGGCTAACAATCAAGTATATTTAGTTCACCAAATGGTCACTTAACACTGTTTTAGAAAAACCATTAGTAAAATGAGCTTCCCTTGATGTCCCACCTTTAACAGAGCTATTACTAGTTTAAAAAATATAACCGTAAGATGAAGCAAGTCAAAAAGTACAATAACCTTTTAAATTCTAGAAAGTTCTCTGCTGTAAAAACCTTTGGACTGCCTTCTTTTTCAAAGCCATCAGCTGTGCGGGCCTTGATGAAGTGCCTGGCCTATTCCTAACACTGTCCCAAGAGCAGGGGAGACACTAACGGAGGAAGAGCAGTGAAGACATGTTTGCTGACCAAGATGACTTAATGGTTAAGAAAGACAAGCCACACACATGAACAAAACAGTATGACATTTCATTTAGACTTTTCTAGGTCTAAGAAGTGAAAGTGAGCAAATATGAGAGCACAAGACTAACAGCCCAACAACTACTGCCATCATCAAATGGAAGAATGGGAGCCGGGAACGACATCTAGGGAGTACGTCAGGTGTGGCAGCGAGGTTGGCGGCAAAGGGGCTGAAGAATTATCTGAGGGCGTCTATCAAAATCTCCATCTGCCCATCAAGATTTCAATTCTATAAATGCAATGTGCACTAATGCACGTGGATTTATATGCACCTCTCTTGGCCACATACATAGCTCCATCCACCCCATCCCTGTGACACCGGCTAGATTAAGATGGCCACAGTTTAGATCACCCAAAGAGAAAGATTAATTCCTTCCTCTGCCTTCCTCACAAAGTCCAGGTGAGTTACAGCCACAATGCATAAAAAGGAGCAATGTCAGAAGTGGGAAAATGCAGTACAACGTATCCTAGCCCTTCCCTGTGTTGTTTTCCTCCACCACATCACCGCTCCCAGTCAAGACTCTCAAAAACAGGATTACCCACGTCACTGTTTATTTACCAAAGACTAAGAAACGACGCTCTTTAGTAACTTCCCTGGCTCCACTCAGCCCTCCTGAGTTCACTAAGTCCTTCTCCGCACCAGATCTCATTTCATCATCTAGGTTAGGTCTTCACTCTAAAAAGGTCTTTAAAATACTTTAAATCTAATTTCAATGTTTCTAAAATTGGATTTCTGTAGTTATTGAGCACATTAATGTGATGGTGGCTTTATTTTCTCTAAAATGACGTTATTAAATCAATGGGACATTTTAAAACACTGGCTTAGAAAAATTTTTATTCCCATTTTTCAGAAAGTCGTGTAAAAAAAACATCATAACAACACTGCTTGAACCTTATATGAATGCCCACATTGTGGTCAGAAAAATTATTTACCCACGACAAGAAAGAATAAATCACTCACACAAGTGAAAGACCATAAATAGGAGTAGCATAAAATACAGTGCTACTGACAGACACTAACAAATACTCCATTAAAAGTGTAAAGAAGAATCCTGTGTGACTTTTTTTTTTTTTCAAATAAATTGATAATTCACAAATAATCTGAAATCTAAAATCTCTTATGTAAGGCCTCTGGAGTATAGTTAATATTTCAAAATCCTCCCAGTGGCAAGAAATACCATGTTTATTCTCCCTTACACTCAGAAGAGAAACACGTGCATAGAGTTTCCCAAAGGAAATCTGTCTACTTTTCTTAACACTGACATTCAGAGAATCTTATCTTGTAGAAAGTCTCTCAACTACCTTTTAAATACTTTATGGTCATTTCCAAAAAACATGCCAGGATTTTATTTCTTTGCTAAGCTTGAAGGGAATAAACAGTGCCTAGGAAAATGCACAAACTTAGATAAAATACTGGAGGCAAACTGGAGGTCTGTTTGCACATGCATGTGTATACAGGAGAGTAGAGCTGAAGCACAAAGAAATTTTGTGATCATATGGGGAAATGTAATAAACTAGGAAAAAAATAAACTTAAGAAAACGATGGGGGCTGGCATCGTGGCATGGCAGGTTAAGTTGCCACCTGCAAAACCAATACCCGACATGGGCGCAGGTTCCAGTCCTACGTGCTCTACGTCCAATCCAGCTCCCTGCTAATGCACCTGGGAGAGCAGCGGATGATGACCCAAGTATTTGGTCCCTGCACCCACGTGGGAGAACCAAGAAGACGCTCTTGGTTCCTGGATCCTGGCTCCTGGTTTCAGATAGGACTGCTCCAGCCATTTAGGAAGTAAACCAGCAAGGGAAGATCTCTTTGTGTCTCTCCCTCTCTTTCTCTAACTCTGCCTTTCAAATAAATAAATAAATATTTTTAAAAAACAAAAGGGGGAAAAAAGGTAAAATAAAGCTTGGGAACCACTTAAATCGTGTAAATAAAGATTTTTCCAGAAAAAAAAAACACACACACAAGAATCCAACTAACAAATCAGTAAATGCTTTGTGAGCACATACCATGGAAAGACACTGCACTCACCATGATAAAATAATTTTGGAGATCCCTAGTTGATGTCTAAAAGTACTTAAGATGAAACATTTTCAGATTTCAACACAACACAAGCATTTGGTAGATACAGAATTTAGCTTCCTGCGTAGCCCTGTACCACCACCTAGTGGTAGAATTCATAAAGCAGGTAAAGAAAATGTCATTTCTATCTGAGACTATCAACAACACGGTCTCGCCCTTTGCTGCGCACTTCCTTTAGATGCCTTTAATGCTAACGTATACAAAGGCACAACCTGGAGCTGTCTAGAGCAATGTGAGATGGAAATGTTTGAAAAGAATTATTAACACCTACAAAAGTTACCACATAGATGTAAAAAGAGCAAAAAGTGAAAATCACACCTGGATATTATAGGGAAATGCTACAACTATTGAGCTCCCCTTCCTAATACTTGGCACACAGAAATGTTAAAAACAATGTATAACATTATGTGTGGTTTCAAAAGGAAACTATAATCATTAAAATCGAAGAGTGAGGAATGAGACTGTCAGTGTTAAATAAAATTTCCCACCAACGCATCAAGAAACTCATAGGATTTAAGTGGCAATATTCACCTTGAATGCACTTCAACTCTTAGAAACCACAATGAAAAAACACTCATCTAAAATAATAAAAATCATAAAATGTGGCTGGCTGTTAGACCACACATATCTTTTTCCCCTTGTCTAGAAACTCAAGATATGGAACTAAACTGGAAATCTCATTACTTCATGAAGTTTTCTAAGCAAACGTCCTTAATGGCTAAGCTGACTGATTCCTTGATGAGTTACATAGAAGAACTGTGATTGTCACTTGGACAGTTGCTAAGGAGCTGGGAGAATTGAGGCCCATGTCTCATGAAATCCACCCCAGTTATTGGACAATGGTGGATGAGATTGTCACCAGGTTTCCTGGAGAGCTAGCAGTGAAGTTAGTATTTTGTGCCATTACTTAGTTAACATAATGAGGTAGGTAATATTTGAATCATGTTTCTGGGAGACTGGTGTTATAATAATACTCCAAATACATATATGTCAGAAATGTGAATTCAAAGACTGTCCATCAGTACATGCATTATCATAATCATAATATTTTGAGAGGAAAATCTACCATAAAATGATATGTAATGAAGTCCACAAATACTTAG